TATAATAAAACGAATTTATGTGGAATTTTGTAATAGATAAAAAAAAAAGACTACATTTGAGATTTCGTAATTCAATTTATATGAATGGGATTGGATTTTTGAACATAATCATATATACTTAATATATTCTAAATTCTCTTTTTTTTTCTTTCATTAAAGGCGCACGGAGAAGCAACACGAGGACAAATGACGAATGAATCCGTAGTTTGAATCTCAGTCAAGTGACGAGGACGACACCTGACGCCCCTCTCTCTCCAAACTTCCATATCTAGCTAGAGGGAGGACTTGAGACCTCGACCAGATTTAACGTGCATCATCCCCGATGTACAAAGATTCTTTAGTGGTATCATACCTCGAACACACGACTCGACAAATACGACACCAACCGTGAGTGCGCGACCATGACTACTATTTATTCTACAAAAATTATTTTTCTGAGCAACACAGCATAATTGTTTAGTTTAGTTTATATTAACGTCGCACTAGAAGCAACACGAGGGCTATTGGCGACGGACCTCGTAATTTTGAACCACGGTCATAGGACGAGGATGACACCTGAGCTGGCATGTCCCTCTCCTAACTTCCACACCACGCCAACGGAAGGACTTTGGGCCCCGAACAGATTTAACGTGCATCAGCCCCGGTTACACGGCGGGTCTTTGGCAGCCAAGGATCGAATAGTCGGCCACTAATCCGAAGCCATGACCACTAGGCTACCGCGGCCACCCGACCACTGAGAGAATAGTTGAATCTTTAAGTTCATGCTAAGCTTATATATGAAACCTCCCATGTCTCTTTGGAATTCATTTTCTTGTTGAAACTAGAAGACTTACACATATAAACACCCTTTACAGGAAAAATCTCCTCTTATGTGTAATCATTTTGTTTGTTCTTTGACCGTGAGATACGTTTTGACTGAATGATCTGCTTTTTTCTTAGTTCGCTTTAAACATTTTAAATCTTATACATTATTTCTTAAGGATTTGGTTGGAGAAATTCTCCGATTTGGCATGATACTGGCTTTACTCGAAAAAAATATTTTTGTTAAAATATATTTTTTTATTCTATATATTAACTTAGCACTGACTTTTACTTGATATATCTATTAAAATGGTAACAATTTTACCTTGTGTTTGCCAAGATATGTTTCATGAAGATTCAATGCAACGAAATCATACAACCAATCTAAACGAATATCTTGATCTGCTTGAACTGCTTTCAGAAATCATTAACGTACAACATAAGATTCAACTGGGGGTGACAATAAGATATATTTTAGTTGACGAATTATCTCTTCTTGGATGAATTATTTCTATCTGTTATACATTCAAGATCTAGTTTTCTATAATGAAAAACAAATATATATATACAAATATTTCTTTAAATTTTAATCCATTTTTTGTAATTAAATTTTCATTACTTATAATAACTTGTTTTGTACCCAGAACAAAGGTAGATAAACTTACAATTATTAAAGGCAATCACTCATTTGAGATTAATTAGGCATGCATATTATTAATTAGTCGTTCATTTATTTTTCTGGCATCTGAAAACATAACAAATCAATGGCTGATCATTAGCGAGAAAATTCTAACTCGTAACAAAACGTTATTTCGTAGAGAAACACGAAATGTACTTTTGCATGACATCTACAAAAATTATTCTAA